ACCCCTCGGCTAGCCTGAGCCAGCACCTCCACGCTCTAAGTCCTGCTCTGATGCTCTGCCGGCACTGCTTCCGGCCATCCAAAACGCTAATTCGAACTAGTTTTTTAGTCTGGATCCGTTAGTTCGAATTAGCTTTGTTCGAATTAACTAATTCAAACTAAGTTAGTTCGAATTAACGTTGTAGTGTAGACGTACCCTCTCTTTCCTGCCTTTATCTGCTGCTGCTGCTTCTACTCTGCTTTTCTCTGCTTAGAACTTAATACACAATTCATAGCAAAATTGTCCACTAAAATTGCACCCATCACTATTTGCCATTATTGTCACCACAAACAGCAGATGTCCATAATTGCTGAACATATTTTTGCTATTCAAAGTAGGAATAAGAGATCCTCCGGAATAGGGTTTTATTCCAGAGGATCGCGCCAGTCTAGACGCTTTTTTCCGGCTTTTCCCCAAGCCAGAAAAAAAGCGGCGGGCCTGTTTATTTAAATCCTGCAGGGGATATTTAAATCCCCCGCGGATTTCCCTATTCCCAAGTTCAAAATTAGCATGCCCCTTCCGAAGAAGGGGCCAGTGTAGACACAGCCCAAATGTGGCCTCACCAAAGCTGAATAAAGGGGAATAATGACATCTCTGGATCTGCTGGCAATGCTCCTCTTAATGCAACCTAATATGCCATTAACCTTCTTGGCTACAAGGGCACACTGTTGACTCATATCCAGCTTCTCATCCACTGTAACCCCCAGGTCCTTTTCTGCAGAACTACTACTTAACTGGTTGGTCCGCAGCTTGTAACTATGCTTGGGATTCTTCCGTCCCAAGTGCAGGACTCTACACTTGTCCTTGTTGAACCTCATCAGATTTCTTGTGGCCCAATCCTCCAATTTGTCTAAGTCATTCTGGACCCTATCTCTGCCCTTAAACATATCTACCTCTCCCCCCAGCTTAGTGTCATCTGCAAACTTGCTGAGGGTGCAATCCATCCCCTCATCCAGGTCATTAATAAGGTCAGTCCTCCCTGTCCCTTCCCTTCCCCTGATGGGGCTGGAGTGCCAGAGGAGTGAGGTGTCTCAGTTGGGGGCCACATCAGTGTGGTTTTGGAGGGGTTTTTTTTCTCACTTGTGTGGTCCCCAACTGATTTTTCTGTGGGTTACTGGCCCCCGACCCAAAAAAGATTCTCCACTCCTCCCATAAATAAAATATGGGAATCTTTTGTGTTGGACATAAATTAATATTTTACTTTATATAAAATGAAGTTTAATAAACTTAGGGTGTGTCTAGACTAAAGGGTTTTTTCAAAAAAGTGGACTTTTTTCAAAAAAACTTCCCCTGCGTCTAGACTGCTGCCGCGTTCTTTCAAAAGTAAATCAAAAGAATGCGGCAGTTTTTTCAACCACAGAAAACCTCGTTTTATGAGGAATAATGCCTTTTTTCGAAAGTGCTCTTTCGAAAAAAAGGCGCTATGTAATGAAAACTACGCTTTTTTGAAAGAGAGCATCCAGTCTGCCTGAGTGCTCTCTTTTGAAAAAGTGGCTTGCTTTTTCGAAAGTACTGGTTGTAGTCTAGATGCTCTTTTTCGAAAGAGGCTTTTTCAAAAGTATCTTTCGAAAAAGCCTCTTTTGAAAGAGGCTTACAGTCTAGACGTAGCCTTAGTCTGTTTAATAATTTAAATTAATATTTCCTTTCCTACTGGTTAAATTAAACCATTCTCCCTAGCTGGAGCTCTAGCAAAATGGCTCAGGAGTGATGGTGTAATTAATGGCGATTTTCCATTAGCAACTGTTGGTCCGAGCCAAAAAGTTTGACAACCACTGAGCTAAGGCAAAGCTAGCAGGCCTGGGAACTTTCACCTAGATAGAAAAGTCAATGTGCATATATTTCTTTCACCTAAATGAAGCAACCCTCAGTGGCATAGGAGCTTCCAAGAATACACTCAAACTTAGCAGGTACATCATTACTTGGAAAAATCCAAAATAACTGGTGAAGACCAGACTGAATAACCAGGTAGGACAGAAATAACAAATGTGATAGGAAACCACAAAAGGCCCATAGCAATGAATTGACATGTAATAAGTTAAGATCAATGATATACACTAACCTATAGGGAAAATAAACGTCACCATCTGCAAGGTGAGGAAATACAAATAAGAAGCAAAGGAAACATCCTCTACTGAATATGCATCAAACATAACACTGTCAGCGTAATATAGTATAAAAATGACATCCCAGCCAAGGGGGTTAGCAGAGAAGAAGATAGAGTCCTTGGGAGATGTCAGAATGAGGGCCACTGGTGACAATGGAGAAGGCAAAGGTGATGAGGAAGATGATGGCTAACACTTCAGGTTGTTGTAGAGGGGTATATAGTGTGGAAATATAGATGTACATTCCCTATCTGTCTTATAAAGTTGGAGTGTTTGTGACTGTGATAAGTGTATTATTACATTTGTAAATATACAAGAGTTCCTATAGTGTGCGTATTGCAACTGCATGTCAGGGTTCCCAACCATAGAATAATTGAATACTGGGCCTGATCTTGAGACAAATGACCTGTCAACCCTAAAATTGGTAACAGGAAATTCATGAGTAATCTAAACTCAGGCAACAGAATGGATGTTCTGAGTTCAGGGGTCACCCAAAAAAACCCTTCTATAACATTTGTGTGATTAAAATGAAAAGGGTGAGGATAGGACCCCAGTGAAAATGATGTAGTAGAGCCCAAAATTCTGTTAATGGGCCTGGCTTATCTCATAACTGCACTGAGCAGGGTAGCTTTGCCAAATCATGTGTTGTACTGGGTATGTACCAGATACAATTTACTCTTTTCCAGGGGAAAAGACTCAGCCTCACTAATTCCCTTCTGTACTGTTGCAGAGGGCTGTCCCTTAATTGGGCAGTTCCTTATCTCTCAGTCCAACACTAAACTGTATTTTGCTGTTCATGTGAGAAATAATTGTAAATGCAAGGTCTGCATGTATTAATTCCTGACTTCCTACCTCAGAACAATATCGTTGTATAAAGAAACTAGATGTAAAAGGCTCATTGGGTTATCTAGTCCATCTCCCTGAAATTGCAGGGTTGTTCTCTACAAATTTTTTTAGGTTCACTTTGTCTAGTCTCGTCTTAAGTTTCATGAGCAATGGAGCTTGTCTCTCTTCTTTAGTGAGACTATTCCATATGTGGTAGATTTTTACCATGAAAAAATGTTTTCAAAAGTTAGCCTCTAAAATCTTCTTTCAAAGAGTTTCATTTCATGAATGGCTCTGCAGTTGTTTCAAAACTAAGCTAACTTAGCAGTTAAACTAACTCCCCCTCCAATATTTCATTGTCTGCTTTTGAAACAATGTTAATTTTACTTTAGTTATTTTTAATTTTAGTGTGGAAAAGTTGGGTAGAAATGCCCTCTTTTATTTTGCCTTTGCAGATGATCATTCCAGGATATGCTTGAAAGCTGAGAATAGCCATGACAATTCAGACTACATCAATGCCAGCCCAATTGTAAGTACAGTATCCAATGTGAAGTAATCCAAATAATCCAGATTTTATCCTATCATATCAATGTAATATGTTAACTTGATGCAAGTCACCACTGTAGTAACAGCAGCCTGGGTGAATATCTAGCTCCAGTTCTCCAACATTAATGACTCAAGCTGTCATTTGAGAGTGAAACTACATACGTACCTTTGAAGATTGTAGCTAAAGGAAGATAAATGCCAATAGATAACTAATCTTAAATCTGCATGTCATTTTCCTATATGTGTTAATAGTGATTTGTCTACTGCACAACCCAACATAGTATGTTTAATTCAACAAACCTTTTCAGTTGTGTAAGGAGGTTTGCCTGCCTTTCTGTCACTCTCTAAGTTTTCACTCTTACTTTCTTTATCCTAACATATCCTACCATGTTATTCGAATGGTTTCTGCAGCCACAGAGAGCTGGCTTGGCTTCTTACAAAAGCCAGTCAGTGCTGCTTCTCAAATTGCAGAGGTGACATTTCCTTTTCCCCTCCTTCATCTGTTGTGTTCCTGATGCTGAGCAATTTACTTCTGCAGCAATATGTGTCTTCCTCTGATCTTGCCATTCTCAAAGCAGAGAATGGAATCTTTTCCCACTACCTATATTATAGTTGAAACTGCAATTGAGGTTAATACAGTTCTGAGGTCATATCCCTCCAAACTACATTAGAAGGCCCCTCCTACTTCTCCCATCTGCACACAAATTGAATAGGCATCTTTTATTTTGTCCATGAAAGAGACTAGTGCAGTCATTTTAAAAACCAAAGGCCTCTCTGTTTTTTAGCTAAAGAATACATATGGCACAGCCAGTAGCACTGCACTATCATGGTGCCTTAATCACGACATAGCGGGACCTGTTTAGGCATGAGGAAATAGTGTTGTCTTATTGCCCACTTAGTCCTTGCCTCTCTGAGGCTGCCAACGGCTGGTTTTAATTTGTATCACTTTAGAACACTTGAACAATCAGAAGGAAATAACTTTGACCAACTGTTTAAGCTGGAGAATTAGGTGACACTGTAGCAGGCTGTGTATCCTGTTACAGACTCTTGGACCAGTTTCCAGTGTCATTCTTCCAATGAAACCACTTTGTGTAGGCTATGCAACTGGCAAATTGCATCCCTGAGATTTGAAGTTACAGGTTGTTTCCTTCCACTTTTTTTTGACAACACTTCCCTTTCTAAAACACATCTTGTTAGGATTGTTAGCTACTCATCTGGTATTTTGAGTAGAATTTGAAAGGCTTGATTTTCTTGACTATAAAACCGTTTAATGAAACTCTTTTCCATGGAGTCCGTACAAGATACCAAATCTTCTGAAAGTCTTTAGAGTGCTGTAAAGTATTAGGATTTTGTTCCTAATATGTATTCTGTTCACCAGATTATCAGTTCTGTTCTGACTATTCTAGCAATCAGTCGTGCAAAGCAGCTATAACAGTCAGTGGATCAGGCCATATCAGGATTTCTCCTGTGTAAGAGAATCTTTTGGTGGCATACTAACCACTTGTGGCTTCTGTCCCGGAGCAAAGGGGAATGACCAGAGTACCACTGCATTCCAGCAATCCCCAGCTACTGGAATGGTTTCTTGGGGTCCAGGGCAGCTGAGCATAAGTCTAAACTATGTGCTATTTTCAAAAGAGGATATGCAAATTCTGTGAGAATTTGCATATTTTTGTCCGATCTTACTTTCAAAAGTAGAGCTTTCAAAAGTGAAAGTAGTCTGGATGCATTTTTTTCAGGAAAAAAAACCCTTCTTTGGAAAAAAAAACTGATGTCAACCTCATTTTTTAAAAGAGCGGGTTTTTTTTCAAAAAAGGGGGTTTTCCGGAAAAAAAATGTGTCCGGGCTACTTTCACTTTCGAAAGATCCACTTTTGAAAGTGAAATCAGAAGAAGATATGCAAATCCTCTTTCGAAAATAGAACGTAGCCTAGACATAGCCTTTAAGCTGCCCTAAATGTTTCTGGGTCTGGACTATTCCCTGGTCAGCACTCGGAATGTGAAAGTAACTGGTTAAACGTGCTGAAAGATGGTGGAATTGTGAATCAGGGAGTGAGGAGCAATGGGCGGGCAGAGTGGGATAAGCCCCTAATTCTGCTGCCCAACAGGAACTCAAGGGCTGAATTAAAGATTCTGGGCAGAATCAGCCTAAACGTTGTAGTTCAGCCACCCGGCCTTAGCATTTTACATAGTTTTATTTTTGAATGCAGTTCATTTTTATATTATAATTATACATTTGTAAGTCCAATTTTCATGATAAAGAGCACTGCAGTACTTTTAATTGGGGAATTGAAAAATGCTATTTCTGTTGTTTTTTGTATTGAAATATTTGTAATAAAAATACATATAAAATAAGAACTGAATGCCTTGTATTCTGTGTTATAATTTAAATCAATGTATAGTGCCAATCTATAAAAAGGGAAATAAGAAACCCAGGAAACTACAGACCAGTCAGTTTAACTTTTGTGTTAGGGAAGATAATGGAGCAAGTAATTAAGGAATTCATCTGCAAACATCTGGAAGATAATATGGTGATACACAGGTAACAGCTAGCATGGATTTCTGAAGAAAAAGTCATGACAAACCAAGCTGATAGCTTTCTTTGATAAGATAACAAGTCTTGTGGATAAGGGAGAAGTGATGGACGTGGTATACCTAGACTTTAGTAAAGCATTTGATATGGTGTCACATGACCTTTTTATCAATAAAGTAGGGAAATACAATGTAGAGGGGGCTACTGTAAGGTGGGTGCATAGCTGGCTGGATAACTATTCTCAGAGATTAGTTATTAATGGTTCAGAGTCATGCTAGAAGGGCACAACAAGTGAAGTTCTGCAAGGGTCTGTTTTGGGACTGGTTCTGTTCAATATCTTAATCAACATTTTAGGTATTGGCATAGAAAATATGCTTATTAAGTTTGCAGATGATACCAAGCTGGGCAGGGTTGCAAGTGCTTTGGAAGATAGGCTCATAATTCAAAATGATCTGAACAAACTAGAGAAATGGTCTGAGGTAAATAGGATGAAGTTTAATAAGGACAAATGCAAAATACACCGCTTAGGAAGGAACAATCCATTTCACACATACAGAATGGGAAGTGACTCTCTAGGAAGGAGTATTGCAGAAAGGGATCTATATGAGTCAACAGTGTGACACTGTTGCAAAAAAAGCAAACATGATTCTGGAATGCATTAGCAGGAGTGTTGTGAGCAAGACATAAGTCATCCTTCCGCACTACTCTATGCTGATTAGGCCTCAGTTGGAGTATTGTGTCCAGTGCAAGACTGAAAGAATTGGGCATGTTTAATTTAGAAAATAGAAGACTGCAAGGGGGCATGATAACAGTTTTCAAATATCAAAAGATAGGAGAAGGGAGAAAAAAATGATCTCTTTGGCCTCTGCTGATAGGACAAGAAGCAATGGGCTTAAACTGCAGCAAGGGATGTTTAGGTTGGAGAGTAGGAAAAACTTCCTAACTGTCAGGATGGTTAAACACTAGAATAAATTGCCTAGGGAGGCTGTGGAGTCTCCATCACTGGAGATAGTCAAGAGCAGATTAGATAGACATTTATCAGGGATGATCTAGAGTAGACCTTGCTTGGTCCTGCTGTGAGAGCAGGGGACTGGATTCAATTATCTATTGAGGTCCTTTCCAGTTCTAGTATTCTATGATTCTATTATTCTGAAGTATTTGAAAATGTAGAAAATATCCAAAATATTTAAATAAACTGTATTCTATTATTGTTTAACTCCGTGGTCAATCGTGATTGATTTTTTTAATCATTTGTCACCTGTAGTGGATAGCTCTGACAAGAGCTGAAGCATCTTGTAGGATCAAGCTCTCAGTCAGGGAAAACTGCAAAGAGAAACTTGTAGGTGATTAGACAGAAGAAAACACTCTGGTTCAGGTTTATTGGAAAGCTGTAAAGAGCTGACATGCACCATCTATGTTACATGAAGGAGGAACACTGTTGCAAGATTAGAGCTGTTTCCTAAGAGTTCATTGGGATCCATTTTAACCACTTGCAAACCATTTTAACCGCTTGCAAACCAAATGTAATTCCCCAAGGTGACACAGTGGGAGGTTGCTGAGGAGCAGTGACCTGCCCACGGTGGAAAACTAGTTGTCAGAAGCTCTCTAAGTGGAGCCAAGAATGTTTTGTTTTAGTTAAATTGATATCAGATTAAGAAATCTATCAGATAATGGAAAGAAAAACTGGAAAGACAGAGCTATTCTAGTTCGTAGGAAATCAAGAGTCTTCCCAATCCTTCCTCTCCCCTGCCCATTTAGAACTAGTCCCTTGGGGTACAGCTACACTGCAGCGCTATTTCAGGATACTGAAATAGCTATTCCATGTTTGACAGTGCGCCCGTTATTTTGAAATGTCTTTCGAAATAACAAGTGCGCTATTCTGACGTCCCTGTAAACCTCGTTCCTCCAGGATTAAGGGACATTTCACAATAGCAGTTTATTTTGAAATTTGGCGCTGTGTAGACAGTGCCAAATTACGAAATAACCTATTCTGAAATACACTCGAAATAAGTTATGCAATTTGCATAGCTCAAATTGTGTAGCTTATTTTGAGCTAAGAGTGCCGTGTATATGCACCCTAGGATCACTTGAACTGTAGTCCTTACCCAGTTGAAACAACCATTGAAGGCAGAGCCTAATGTCTATAATGCCTGTGGCTGTTGCTTTTGCCTGAGATCTTTTCTGTTAGTTTTATTAGCTACAAATTTGGTTTGTTCTTTCTTTGGATGTACAGTAGATTTGAAATACCAGTGATTCCTCCTTTACTTTTCCTTGCAATAGTCATACCACATACTTATTTAGAATTCTGCCTTTCAGTTTAAATAACATCAGTAATTATTACATTATACAATGATGTTTTTGATGCATTTGTGCTTTGGAGTGCTTGGACGGGAAGTGAATATTGTAGTGTACTGTAAAGTGAGCATTAAAAACACAGGATCAGAACAGTCTGAA